TACATATATAGTAAAAATATTCCCAAGAGTAAGAAAGAGTATAAAATAAAAAGTAAATCTCCTTTCCACAGATTTCTAGTTTCCCAGGCCTCCACCCCAGAAACAACCAATGCTAATAGTTTCTTTCAGAAATAATCCTTGCCAAATAATGGTATAAATATCCCTCCCACCCTTTTCTATGTAGAAAGATATTAAACATAATATGTTATATAATATGAAAACTTTGCCTTTTTATAATACTCAACAATATATCTTGGAGATTATTCCATACCAAAGCTTATAAAACTTTTACTTCCTTTCCACACCTGCATACTATTCCACTTATATACTTCACCATACCAAGTCCTCTGTTGAAGACGCTGGGTTGCATCCAGCCTTATGCTATTCCAAGCAAAGCTGCACAAACATGGTTGTCCTTGCAAATGGGTAAAGGTAATTTTCTAGACGTGCAAATACTGGGTTAAAGGACATGTATGTTTTGAATTTGATAGATACTAACAAAATGCCCTGCAAATAGGATGCCCAAACTACTTGCACATCAGAAATGCCTGTTTTTCCCTATACTTCAGCAACATAGCACATTATCATACTTTTTCATCACTGCTAATAGATACCTAATTGCTGTTATTTTCATTTTTTTAATTATGATGGAAAGTTGAGCATCTTCTAAAGTTTACGTCATTTGTATTTCAATTTCTGTAATTACTTGCTCATATCACCCATTTTTCTACTGAGTTACTATGTTTCTTACTGTTGCAAACATTTCCCAGTTTTGATCTTGTCTTTTGACTTTGTTTTATAGTATATTTAATCATGTAGATATTCTAAATTTTTATGTAGTCAAATGTATTAAGCCTTTCTTTTAGGGCTTCTAGGATTTGTGTTGCAGTTGAAAATCCTTCTCCATTTTAAGATTATTAAAAAACAAGTTTATTTTCTAATACTTGTATGGTTCATTTTTTACATTTAAATCTTTGATCCAACTGAAATTTCTTAAATGGTAAGGCAGAGATTTAAAGTTCTTCTTTATATTTTTTTTCCAGCTAGATAAGCAGTTGTCACTAGTTGAATTCTCAGAATCAACTATATACGAAACGATTCATCTTTTCTGATAGGATCATTTTAAATGTAATATTGCCAGCTGCAAAGCATTTCGCAATGGAGTATATTTTTAGAAGAATCTATGTTTACTATATTCATCCTAATTAACACATGTTAGTAAATGTTATCTATTGTTAATATTAATGAAAATTACACTGAATTGAAAGATAATATGGCATGTGTTATGGAAACCACTGGATATACCTATGATTAAAAGCAGATATAATTTAACTATAAATTTGCCTTCCAGAAGTCTTTAAATTGTTTACTGGGCACACAATATCACATTTCACACTATAGAACAAAGCCACCTATAAGTTTTTTGGGGGTATAATTTGCTTCCCAATCATAGAAGAATAAATGCTTTATAGTTCATCATTCTTAATTCCTTATTTATCCATGAGGATAATAAAAGTGGAAAGCAATTTTCCTTAAATTTTCATGGGTACTATGCACATAAAAGAAATAACTGTTACTACGTAGAGGTAGAACACCTTTGGGAAGGTGGCAAGAATAGTTCTGAATGAGGAAAGAGCTTGTCAGAAAGCTGCTATTCTCATGTCCTGAGATTTACAGAAGCTAAAATACAGGAAGTCAAGGGTGTGGGAACACTATAACAGAAGGCTGGGCCAGAAGCTCAAAAAAGCTCCAAGTGAAACAGAGGCACAAAAATATAGACTGCTAACTGCTTGCTTCAATGCTGGACAAATGCGTATTAAAGGCCTTTATCCCTTCTTTTTTCCTGCTGAGTGTCAGATGCAGATTGAAGCTTAAAAGTGGTGATCTATTGAACCTACTAATCAAAAATACATATTCCAATTGCAGCATTTTCATTTTAACAGCTGCATAAGCAGAGTTAATAATATTGCTTAAAAGAAATACTGTACGGGCATAAAATGAAGTCTCATTTCAATATTCCTACAGTCTTTATAGATGAACACACAAGGACTGAAATTCAATTTATACCCTTTTTATAAAGGTGTAAATCTCTCTGAACTCTTTATCTCTTTCTCTTCTTTCCTGTCTTTGTTTACATTTCTTTATGAGCCCTATTTCTTTTTCATACCACCAACTCCACCAGCACAGAGAATCAACTCTTTATTCTTGGATTTCATATCTGGAAAGTATATGAAAGGACGAACACAAGATTAGAGAGAAGTAATAGTATGGATGGCCCAAAACAGAAGAAAAGCTAACAAAAATATTAATGGCATTTTTAAAGAATGCATTGTTGAATTTAAGCTTATACTGAAATTTGTACTTAAAAGGTATGGGTGCTTCATGGGGATGTAAAGTACAGCATAGGAAATATAGTAAATAATATTGTAATAATTATGTATGGTATGAAGGGTGTACTAGACTTATCGGGAGATCACTTTGTAAGTTATATAAATGTCTAACCATTATGCTGTATATCTGAAACTAATATAATATTGAAAAAAAAAAACTGAATGCTTAAAAAAACTAGATGTTTGAAAAATTAAGAATATCTCAAACACAATATTGAAACTCATCTGTTAAGACCCCATTCAGAAGGATAGTAAATGAAAATTAGCTTTCCACAGGAACCGAAGTGTTTTTGCTGCCTTCCTTTTAAAATATTAAACAGTTGTACTCTGTATTTTCTGGACAGATCACTTATTTTAAAATTTTGAAAATGAACAGCATTTATTTTGAAACTGAAAAATTCTGTTCCAAAGGAAAGTCAACATCTTGTCCCTAAAATTCACCCCTTCCTTCTTCTGTGTCCTCTGTCTCTGTGAATGGAATCGACAATTTCAGGGTCTCTAGAGTGAAACCTAAATAATCTTGCCTTCAATCTCTTTCTCTCATGTTCTCTGTCACATCTGTGATATCCTTTCCATTCCCACAACTTCCTAGGACAAGGAGTCATCCCGGACTCCACTTTTTCTTATTCCCCTTATCCAATCCATCAGCAAATCCTTCAAAATATAGTTAGAATTTGACCACTTTTCACCCCCACCACTATCACCACTATGGCCCAAGCTATCATCGTCTCTCTCCTAGTTTACTGTACTGGTTTCCTAACTGGTCTCCTTTCTCCTGCCTTTGACCTCTAGCTTCAGTCTATTCTCAGTAAAGCAGACTGTGATCATGGTTCTCCTCTGCTCAAAACCTCCAATGGCTTCTTCGCTCAGAAAAACCTGACAATCTTAAAGGACCTCGCCTCACACTTTCACCACCACACACATGAGCTTTGGTCTCATTCCTTACCGCTCTTTCCTTCATGAAGTCTCTCGCTCAGCTCCAGCCATACTAGCCCTTGCCAGGGGTCATGCTCTTCCCTTCCCCCTCTTTATACTCGCTGTTCTCACTACCTGGAATGCTTGTACCTAGACAATGCATCATTCCTTCAGGTTTTCAGATCCAAAAAACTGACTCTTTCCTTCATGAAGTCTCTCGCTCAGCTCCAGCCATACTAGCCTCCTTGCCAGGTCATGCTCTTCCCTTCCCCCTCTTTATACTCGCTGTTCTCACTACCTGGAATGCTTGTACCTAGACAATGCATCATTCCTTCAGGTTTTCAGATCCAAAAAACTGATCTTCTCAGTAAGTTTGTTTTTGGCCATTCTTTCTGAAATTTCACCATCCTTCTTCTAACATTTCAAATCTTTCTTCCCTGTTTCTTTTTTTTCCTCCATATCACACAATATATATTTTATTTATTTACCTAGTTTATTGGCAATTTCCCCAACCGTGATATAAACTCCATGAGGCAGAGACTTGTCTATTATGTTCCCCATACCCAGAACACACAATAGAAGCTCAGAAAATTTTGTTGAATGAATGAATAAATGAGAAAACAAATAAAAGAATGACTCCAGCCTGGGATCTCACTGAATCTTTCCTGGCCTCCTGCCAGTAGCCTTTGTAATTAATCCTACATACCTCAAATCAGTAGTTTACCTAACACAGGTCTGATTCTATTGCTGCTCTGATTAAGAATTTAAGTATTTCCCAACTGTCCATTGAGGAAAACACAATTCTATAAGAGGGATCTTTCATAATCTGGATACCCTTTTCTAAACTCATCTCTTTACATCCCTTTTCTAAACTCATCTCTTTATTCTGTAGACCTGTCTCCCAAACTCGAGTAATTTATGGGTCCTTTTTAAAGGGAAAAAATTCCTCAATGGCTTTCAAGGTCACATCTTAGGACCCCAGTTGGGAAACACTAATTTAAGAAATTGACATTCTGAAGGTCAACAAGAAAGTATTTAATTATAGATTATTACTGGTAATTTTTAATATTATAACTAAAATGAAAACAAAATTTAAAAATCTTCATATACCTTGCATCCCCTCCAAGAATAAATCCATGGACCCCAGTTGCACAAACTACCTACTCATCCGAGAAGAGGCCAATACCCACTTGCCTCCATGCCTTTACTCCTGCTATTCCTCTACCCCAAAATATCCTTCCCCTAACTAGTTATCAAAATTCTAATCATCCTCTAATGCCTAGCTTAATTATCACCTTCTTCATGAACTCTTCTTTTTGATGCCCTCAGCTAAAATTTCTCTCAGTCTCTCGAGGCAATTTTATACCTTTTCTATGGCATTAACTGCATTATTCTCCTTTATGATACACTATTATTTTCCCATGGTTATTATAGCTCCTGAATGCCAGGAAGGTGAACTTATTCTCTTTTTATTTACATAATTAGTATAGTATCTTCCATATAACAACTAATAATGTTCACTGAATTAATCATCATATAGAGAAAAAAATAAATAAATGTTTCCATAAATATTAACCTCTACTGATTGTCCTAAAAATGAACTGTTCACTAAAAGTTTATAAACAAACATATATAATATACTCATAACAAAAGAAAAAATATGGGAAAAAATTTTAAGTAATTTATAGGACTCACCTTCTTTTAAGCATTAAGTCTGTTATAGGTATGCATCTTAGGCCAGCTCCCAAAACCATAAGGAAGGATGTCAGAAGCACAGTTATCCGAAGACCTGAAAGGAAACAAAAACATCCAGATTATTTTCTCTTTTCTCTTCAAGTAAGTCCAATGTTAAGAATAAAGGTTTTTTACTCAATCATACTGATATTATATCCTAATATAGCTTTTCCCTGTAACTCCCAACATGGAAAAAAGAAAACACTTCTGCATGCTGAAAATGAAATTATTTTAACTTTCATAGAAAACCTGAATGATCACATCGACAGAAGAAGAAGTTTCGCTAGCTCCAGTTTTCCAAAGTAAGTGGCTACAGTGCTTTGTTTACCTGTAACACTAAAAAGTATAGAAAATAATTTTAAATGACTAGGTATTTTAGTTTTATATCTCTAATATAAAATTTTTAATTTTAAAATGCAAGTTGCAAAAGCTCTAAACTGGCCCTAAAATGTTTTTTAAGGTGATAGATTATTGCTTTAAATTTTCTCAAAAACTGACAACTAGCCAATTACGTATTTTATATTATAATCAAGATAAGCTATTACTTGTTATAGTGTCGTAGGAAGTGATCCTTTAGGGTCCTTTAATTATTAATACAATAATAGTCTTTTTTTCTTGATTTATCAGATGGCTTTCAACTTATATAGAATGCTGCTGTTAATAAATAAGAAGCATGGCTTAAGACTTTACAAGAAATGTGAATCAGCTAGTTTTTCCCTTTGTATCCCAATACAATCAATTATTTTGAAAATGTGTGCCAATGGTCAGTCACATAGATAATAAAAAAAAGAGAGAGAGAATATAAAATAATGTAATCAAAAATAGACCTAATGTTCTGGTTATGACAGAGTAATGTAATGGGACTATATATTCCTACTGTTAGAATGCTATACTTCTGTTACTTCTAAACTAATACCACCTTACTGTGTGTGGCAGTCACATCACACAGGTGGCTCATACTGAGCATGTGGCAAAGGTGACAACATTTCTTCCAATTTCTCTCAAACCTAACACCTCTTTGAAACCATTTCACAGTGAGTAGATTTAAACTGTTTAATGGAAATTTTTCTTTTTTTCCAGACCTTTCTTTTTTCCTTTGCAAAGAAGAGATGGTTAGATGTTTGGTTTTCAAAGGGCTTCTCTGCTTGAAGGAAACTGAAAGTCAACAAAACTATAATTACGCAGATTAAACATAGTTAACGAAAATAAATTTGAGACCTGAATCAGGTACAGACATGCTACATGAGGATAATTTGTTATATGAACTGAGTTAATGTTATAATATTCTTATATGATCTAAGCATGATTAATACAATTTGGCAGAAGGAACAGCACAGAAAATTGTGCTCTTGGTAACGAGTAATGCATATATACTCATTTATTGCTTTTCCTATCAGAACACAGATTTTAAAACCACTGTATAGCCACAGGAAATAGAGTATAATTAATAAAAAGTACATTCATGGTCATAAATACTCTAAAATGTTGCTCTTATAAGGTTATATGGGGTACCCTATGAGATAATAAAATTTTAAGATTTGGGACTATAAGGCTTACGTTCTATATGATGTTTATTTTTTCCTAAATATTTGGATTGTAATTAAGGTTAAGTAGCCACCAAGTGAGTAATGGGGCACTGTCTATGGCCCTATGGTCCAAACAATCAGGTGCCCATTACTACTGCTTGAGGCTAGCACATTTTTCTATTCAATTATGCTTTTTATCAAACAAATGACAATATAGCAGCTAATACAAACATTTAAGAGAAGCTGTGAAAAGCTGATTATTTAAGCAACCTTGCAGGTACAGCTTGTGGCTTCCTTGCTTATTTTTCATTGTTGCCAAGTATAACTTAATCTACCTCCAGCTGATGCTCAATTTTGAACAGAATGCTTTCCTTATCTCATTCAAAACTTGACAAGGCAGGACTCTAAAACTGCATGTAATCAAAAAGATATCAACTGATTTGGGGAAGGAGGGGAATGAGGACCCCAGAAAAATAGGTTTCTGAGACATTTGGGACCTTTATGTAAATAGATCCTAAGTGATTTCAGTGCTAGGATGTGAGCGCAAAAACCATTTCATGGAAGGTATCAGAACAATTCTGGAAAACCAAACATGATTGAAAATAAAAATAAATTCTGTTCAAATATGGCATCCAGAAACTGTAGGAAGCGTCCTTCCAATGAATGAGATAACTCCTTTTATTGGGTACCTATTTGGTTAGGTTATAGGATTGGAGTCTCTATAACAGGTATCTAAAAAATCAAGATGCAAAATTGACTGGACACACACACACACACACACACACACACACACACACACAAAGAGAGAGAGAGAGACAGAGACAGAGACAGAGACAGAGACAGACATCCATCCATAGCGGAAGCATGGGAAATCACTGATGGCCCCAAAGTTTATCTGGTAAGATTGCCTTTCCCAGGCTCCGCAATTCCATCAGCTGGACTGAAGACAAGGTCTATTCGTTCCAGGCAAGACCTCTAGTCTCTCCCTATCCTCAACAGTCACAGCCTTGCCACCACAATCTACCTTGGAGACCATCAAGACTAATCACATTGTGCCTGTTCTTCCTATTTACATTGGTCATGAAAGATCCAAGATTCACAGGTCATTCTTATCCCAATATGGATTCATATATCCCCTAATCTGACCTCATGTCCACCACCTCCTCAACTCTGGAACCCTTCGACTGTGCCTGCCTTCTTGAGCAGTCAGAATCAGTGGAATCCTTACATTCTCAAGTTCGTCTCTAAACATTCTCTTCACCTTCTCCTACTGAAGCTTCTCTCCTGAGAATACTGCTTCCCCAGCCACTGCCAGACCATTGTTTACTCTTTCCTCTCTAAAGCTCCCCAGTCTCTTTTCTCTTGACGCTTTTAAGATTTTCTCTAGTTTTAAGCAATATGATTATGATGTGTGTTGGGGTAGTTTTCTTCATGTTTCTTCTGCTGGGATGCTTGAATTTCTTAGACCTGTGGGTTTATAGATATCAAATTTGGTATTTTTCTTGCCATTATTTCTTGATTTTCCCTCCACCTCATCTTACTCCAAGCCCTCTCCCATTACCTCTCTCTTCTCTTTCTGGGACTCTAATTCCATGTGTACTATTAGGCTACTTAAAACTGTCTTGCAGCTCACTGATACTTGTGGGGTCTTTGTTCGTTTTTAGCATTTTATTCTCTGCGTTCCATTTTGGATGGTGTTATTGCTATGTCGTCAAGTTTACCTATCTTTTCTTCTGAAATGTCTAATCTATTGTTAAATCTTGTCTCAGACAGAGATGACATTTTTATCTCTATAAGTTTAATGTTGGTCTTTTTTCCCCGTCTTTCTTTAACACGTTCATGCTTTCTTCTATCTTCTCGAACATACATAGCATATTTATACTAGCTGTTTTGATGCCCCTGTCTATTAATTCTATCTTCTGTGCCATTTCTGGGCCTGTTTCTATTGATTGTTTTTTCTCCTCTTTATGGGTTGAATATTTTGCATGCTTGGTAATTTCTGATTTGGATGTCAGGCATTCTGAATTTTACTTTGTTGGGCAATGATTTTTTTTTTTTCACTCCTTATACATTTTTGAACAATGTTCTGAGACACAGCTAAGTTACCTCTGATCTATCTTTTCAAGGAGTACTTTTAAGCTTTACTACAGGGAACCAGAGCAGCCTTTAGTCTAAGGTCCATCTGTCTTTACTACTGAGGCAATACCCTTCTGAGTATCCAACCCAACCTCCTGCTATGTATTCTGAGGTTTTTCCATTCTGGCTATTAGAAAAGTGAAGTATTCCCAGTCTTGTATAAACTTTGGGAATTGTTCTGCCTGCTCCTTTCTGGTGATCCTTTCTTCAGACTTAAGTAGTTTCCTCACATGTATCCACTGATTGGTGCTCATGAGGAACTCTCTGTAAATCTAGACCTTTCTCTTGGTGAAGCTTTTTCTTCTCTGGTACTCTACACTAAGAATTATAGCTATGTTGGCCTCTTTGAATTCTCAATTGTCTCCCCAACTTAAGAAAACTGTGGGGCTCTGTCTGGGATCCCATTTCTTCACTGCTGCTTGGAATTTCTCTTCAGGCAGTAACCTGAAGCAATCACAGGGATGACTGTTCTGCTCTGCCTGTTGCCCAATGTCTAAAAACCACTGTTTCATATATTTTGATTTTGTTTTTTGTTTTTAGTTGTTTAACATAGAAGGATAAATCCAGTTCCTGTTACTTCATCATGGCCCGAACAGCCTTTATTTGATTTTATCTGACTGTAATACTCACCGCTCCTTGCTGCAATTGTCTACAGACAACCACATACCTGCCTGTGAGTCATTCACCCTCACTACTTGAAAACGTATTGGCTCATTATTACTCCTTAGGACACTATTTCTTACAAAAATCTGGTGATTTCAATATCCACTAAATGATCCTTTCAATACCCTGGCCTCTCAGTCTCCTGATCTCTTATTTCATGATCATGTCCTTTACCCTACCTCAGTTGTCCACTCTCTTGGTTATGCTCTTTCCTTAAATTTACCATAATTGCATCCGTGACATAATCTCAAATTCAAGCATTCCATTAGTCATTTCCTTTCTTTCCCATTCATTCTCTCTAGTACTTTAAATCTTCATCCAATTGGGAATGACAATTTTGGAGTCTACTACTTTTTCTCATCCACGTCATGTGTCTCCTTTTCTCCTTTACCCAGTTTAGATCCCATGTTCCATAGCACTCTCTACCTAACCTTCTATTCTTGGCCTGCAATTTCTTCGTCCTGTTCACCTGGTAAACTGCAACTCTGTCCATGCCTGTGCTTGTTCAACAGAACAGGCTGGAGGAAAACACAACCATGCTGGCTGGTCTCTCTTGAAATTAATGCCTAATAACTTAAAACAGACCCTTAGTGCCCAACAATTCTACTATACTGTCATGCACCACATAATGATGTTTTGGATAACAATGGACATAAACAGTGAATGGTGGTCCCATAAGATATAATGGAGCTGAAAAATTCCTATTTCCTAGTGATGTCATTGCTGTTGTAACATCGTAGTACAAAACACTACTCATGTGTTTGTGGTTAGGCTGGTGTAAACACGCCTACTGTACTGCCATATAAAAGTATAGCACATAAATTAATTATAGTACATACTGGATAATGATAGTAAACAACTATCACTGGTTTATACATTTACTATACTATATTTTTTATCATTATTTTAGAGTTCAGCAGTTTACTGCATCTCTTGATGGCATCATTTTCTCTTGTGCTTGATTAATCTCATGCTATTTTGTACAGTAACATGCTGTATAGGTTCTGGCCTAGGAAAATAGGCTATTCGATTTAGCTTAGGTGTGTTGTAGGCTATACTGTCTAGGTTCATATAAGAACACTCTATGATGTTCACACACAATAAAATCGCCTAATGACGCATTTCTCACAACACATACCCATGGTGAAGAAGCGCATGACTATAATTTCCTAGTCCATGTGTTCTTCACTGTTCTAGAAAATAGTTTAATAATTTATCCTCTCTCTTTAATCCTCCAATAACTGCTCCCCTATCCTCACTTGTCAGGTGATAATTTTGCTTCCTATTTTCTGAGAACTATAAGCAAAGATAACTTCTACAAGCTCCTACAACCCACCATCTGTATTTATATACTCTATCTTCTATTATTGGAGAATTAGATGTCAACACTTCTAAGGCCAACCTGTCTACTTGTGCTCTGGAGGACTGCATCCCCTCCTGCTTATTCAAGGATATAGTAACGGCAATTCTTCCCTCTTCCTCCAGCATTGTCAATTTCTCTCTTTCTATTGGATCTATTAGGATACTGCATTACAGAGATATGTTTTAATATCTCTTGTCTTTAAAAATATCTTTTCAGGAGGCACATTCCCTCTGGCTATTGCCCCATTTCTCTGCTGTCCTGTATAGCAGTACTGCTTGAAAGAAATATCAACACTCACTGTCTCCAATTCTTCTCCTCACAATTTATTTTGGACTCACTCCTACCACTCCAGTGAGACTATTTTTTTAAAGGATACCAAAGAGCTCCGTGTTGCTAAATTCAAGGCTCTACTGTCAGTCCTCACTAGCCAGTTCTTCCTTACCTCTGCATCCTCTAAATGTCAGAATACCTCCAGACTCAGTCCTCTTCTGAAACAACGCCCATTTCCACAGGTGATCTCACTCATCCTCAAGGCTCTGAATACCATTACAGGTTGACGAATCCTAAATTTAGTGCTCAGGCCTCTCCCCTGAACTCCATATTAATAAATCCAATTGACAGTTTAACCTGTCTACTTGGATATCTAACAGGCATTGCAAACCCCTGATCTTCATGCCATCTGCCTCTAATTACTCCTTCCACAATCTTAGACTTCTCAGTAAATTGCAGCTTGATTCTCCCATTTACTAATGCTAAAAAGTTGAGAAACATTTTAGACTCCTTTCCTTCCTTCATACCCCACCTCCAATCCATCAGCAAATACTGGTGAGCCTACTTTAAGCATAGATCAAGAATCTAATTATTTATCAAATCTTCCACTACTATCATCCCATTTGGAAGTCACCATCAGCCCCATCTGGGTTATTCCACTTGCCTCCCGACTGGTCTCCCCTGCTCTGGTTCTTGTTCTCAAGACAACAGCAGAGTCGTCATTTTATTCTTCTGCTTAAAGCCTTCCAATGGAGAGAAACTTCCTCACCTCTCAGTGATGAATGACCTCACAGTGGCCTACGAGGCCCTGAGTGATTCAGCCTCCCGTCATCTCTTACCTTATCTTCTACTGTTGTTTCCCTCATGGCTCGGTACAGCTGCACAGGCCTCATTTCTCTTTCTTGGATATGCCAAACGAGTTTAGGAGCTTTGTCTTTTCCCAAAACAGTCTTGTCCAGAAGTCAAGTTTCCTTTTTCCCTTGGGTTTCTGCTCACACAAATCAGTAAGGCCTTTCTGACACTGTATATAGATTATCACCCAATCACATCCCCTTTCTTCTTTGCTTTGCTTTATTTTTCTCCAAAGCGCTATCACCATCTGACATACTAAATATTTAATTTTATTGTTGTTTGGTGACTGGATCTCCTCACTAGAATGTAGGCTCTGCGAGGACTCTCTCCAGTGCTATCTCCTTCTAGAACTTTTCTTCACTTGACTTCTAGGGCACACTTGCTTTTGGCTTTCTTATTATCTCACTAGCTAGTCCTTTTTGTTTCCTTGCTGGAAAACGGAAAGAGGTAAGAGAGTACAAAACCGATCTGATGAGGATAAGCGGTCTTCTACGCTAAGCTGTCTGGGACCTACGGCAGTAGGTCTAGTTAGGAGACTAGTGGAATAACTTGGATGGGGCTGATGGTGTCTTCCAACTGGGGTGATAGTAGTGGGGGATTTGACAAGTGGTTAGATTCCTGATATATTCTGAAAGTAGACTCACCAGTATTTGCTGTCGGATATGAAGAAAGGAAGGGAGTCTAAAATGTTCCCTACCTTTTAGGGAGAAAGAGACTTTGGTACCCAGGGATAACAGAAATTCACTTTCTATGTACGCAGATAGAACACCTGCAGCCAACACATGAAAATGTACTAGAAATAGGAAAACCACTTCCTAAAAGAGAGAACTTTAAAATTTATTTTTTATTGCTTCAACCAATAGAAATATAAATTCGAATTCACCATATAGTCACAAGAACTCTGAAAGAACTCCTAAAGTAACTTATTTTATAAAAAGAATAGGTAGTCCCTCATTTATCTGGCCAGGTATAGTAGATACAATTATAATAAGAAAGGTAAAAATTAACATTTTTCTACCATAAGGACAAGGTTGGCTAAATTTAGCAAATAATATTGAGAAAATGTTCCTAATAAAAAGATAAATACAAAGAAACAATAAAAATAGCATTTCCCCTTACATTTAACCAACCTTGTAAGAAATGACTGAGGAACTGTAATAGATCAGAGGAGGTTATGGAGAAATAACAAATAAATGCAATTTGAGACCCTCAAGTGAATCCTTGGAAAAGGGGGGAAAAAAGACATCAGTGGAAAAAGTGGTGAAATCCAAATAAAATCTATAATTCAGTTTAAAAGCAAATAAAAGACAAACAAAGAAAACCTCCATTCAGTACAAGGAACCCTTCCTCAGAATCTAGCGCATATCCTCTGCATAAGTACTTGTGTGGAAGTACTTATGACCTTCCAGGGCTGGGCACCTTTCATTGTTAGAAGGTTCTTCCTCGTATGGCTTTGAGTTACATCCCTTTGTAACTTCCCTCAGTTTAGTTCTTCCTTCTATAACGACACACATTAAGTCTAATTCCTCTTTTACTTGATCTTCACATATTTCATATTCTGCCTCATTTCATTTTGAAGCTTGACACACCCAGTTCCCTTCGTCTTATACATTATGACTTTTACATCCTTTATCATTCTTACTACACAACTTTTAAAGTACTCTAGCTTATCAATGGCCTTCTTAAAATTAATGCTCAGAACTGAACATTAGAGCATATCAAACTATTTCTCTTGTTTTAGACACTATGCTTCTCTGCCTAAAATTGTCCTCCCTTTTTCAGTAGATACACCACATCCATCATGAATCATTTACCCATACTTGTGTAGTATAATTCAATGCCTTATTATTCAATCCTATGACCTTTTTTTTTCTCTCTTCAAAGAATCACACTAGCAAGTTGTAAAGTGAGATGTCTGTCCAGAGTATTCTTCTGTGAAGAGTCTTCATTCATTTGCAAGCTTTATCTAAGAGTTATAAATCTCAACTGACACAGCCAACTCCTTACATACACACGCTTTAAAGGTGCCGTGATCATTTCCCAGAACGCAAAGAGTCAGGTCCGAGTTTCTCAACAGCTCTTCCTGGGCTGGGGTCATGTATTATGCAAAGCCAACTCATTACTTCCTTTTATCTGGGCATCATCTATTTTCTGATGTCTATTTTCTGATCTTTTCACCCTCAACATCCCAAAATCCCTTTGAAGTCAAAGCATCAGTCATTTTTGTGGTGTAAAGAACATACATAGCCCGTGCACGGGGATGCTCTGAAGTCCACAATAAGCAAAAACGTGAACATTTAGAGAAGGCTTAATCCCTGCTGTTGCATAATGAGCCCCGATAAAAACATAAGAGCTACAAAGAAGCCTTCCTGTATTTGTCGCTTTGGGATTGGAGGTTCCTAGTCAGGAATGGGATGCGAGCGACACTCCCATCACCTCATACAACCCTTAAGACGAAGCCGAGGGAGGAGGCTGCCTCAGGAGTGACAGCGCCGGCCGGTGCTCCCCGGAACATCTTACCTCTCTTGTCCAGGAGCCACATGAACGCGAAGCAGGGCAGGAAACCGATGGGACCCCACAGCACGAGCAGCGCGATGTCCCAGCTGGAGAAGCCATAGGCCTGGCGCGCCGAGTTCTGGATGGGACCCCAGGTGTTCCAGACCAGGCCCTGAGCAAACCCCAGCAGCGAGAAGAGCAGAAGTACTAGCCAGCGGCGCCCGTACACCCGCCCGGGACCTTGGGCGGCCGCGGGTAGCGCTGCTGCCGCCGCCGCCGCCGCCGCTGCCGCCTCTCGGCTTCTCCGGGCAGCCCCCGGCGCAGGCCCCAGTCCCGGCCCCAGCAGCGGCTGCCGCTCCTCTTCGCTGCTCCAGCTGGTGCCCATGGCGACGCGCGGTCCGCGGGGCCCCTGCCCAGCGCGGTCCCCGCGGCCACCGACCAGCCCCGCGCAGATACAGCCGGAGGAGGTGGAGGCCGAGGCTGCTATAGTCGCCCTCGGCCTCCCGGCCGCGCCTAGTGCGCTTGCGCCGAGAGAGCCTGCCCTAGGCAGGGAGGGGTGGCAGGTGCGGCGAGCCAGGAGGAGGCTGGGGTGCAAATTGGAACCGTGCCTCCTCCCCCCAGGCGGTGACAGGAGACCGAATGGATCCGGCGTCCCGAAGGATGGATGGAGAGGAATTGGAATGGCGGAGAGGAGCGCGGCTGAGCCCGGGAAAAAGGAAACTCCCAGGGAGGCTGTATTAGAGGAGGTTGGGCAAGGAATCCGGGTTGCTGTAGGAAGTGTCCAAGTTTTACATCATGTGCCTAATAAACAATTCGGTGACCTCCGGTCACTTAAGCCAATGCTTTCTTCCGTATTGGGTTTCTTCTTATTTTTGTTGGGTTTTTAACTTCAGAAATTATAGGGGAGATAGGGTAAGATTGAAGCATAGTAGGGACCCAGAGGATTGCCTCTTGACAATCATTTCTTTTTTTTTTTTATGTACAATAAGTACTGCCTAGTTTTTCAACTTTTTATCTTACATACCTAATGAGATTATAAACTAGCCAATTTCACATATATAAAATATATAGATATGATTATATTCTTTTGCTTGTCATTAATAGGCAATCGATAAAGATATGTTCAGACTGGAAGATTTCTGTCCCCAAATGACCTAGTTAAACGATTTTGACCGACGAAGAGTAAACGAGGAGAATAGTGCAGGTTGTTGATCTCTTGATCAAGCAGCCGGTTGTTTATTTTGCTATACAAATCCAGGAGCCTGACAGCTGTCAACTAGTGCCCTTGAAAACCTAAGCGATTCGACTTGTCTAGGTGGGGAAATGAGTCACCGGGAACACAATGAAAGGACATCTGCCCTAGGTTCATATTCCCTGGCAGCCACGAAAACCAGGTGGGGTCATGTTGTTGCCAGAAGGGCAAAAGGGGTGGGAAGAGAAGAAAAAGAGAAGGGCAAGCTCTCAAGGTATCCAAGGCTGGTAAGATCTGTTGCAGAGTAAACGAGCTTTGAGCCACATTTCACTGCTCCGAGCCCGACAAAAAAAACAAACATCTCCTAAAACTCCAATATAGTTGGAGGAAAGCGCCAAGGCGGAAAGGAAAGACCTGACTAGAAAACGAGAAGCAGAAACGAAGCCAAGAAAAGACTACATTGAAAGAAGGGTAAGTAAGGGAAGACAGAAAGAGCCGCAACCGAGACCACGTGCTTGCCTTTCAACAACCCCGGAATCAAAACAAATCTGCATGGTCCCGCCCAGCGCGCGTCACGTGTCTTTTACGTGAGCGGCGCTGGCGGAAGAGTCAGGTAGCAACCGCTGCGACTCCTTCCTGTGCCGTAGCGTCTGAGTCGGGCTCTTGACAGTCCTCAGATCCCGCTCATGCTCGGCTCCGCTTTATTTTTGGGTTTCGGGCGGAGTTCGCGTCTTGCTAGCCATGGCGGCAGGCCCAGGGGCGACCAGTGATGCGTGCCACGCAGCTAGAGCTGGCGGGGAGGAAGGTAGGTGCTAGGCTGAGGTCAGACCACGAATCGGTATGACCCTGTGCCAACTTTCTCTTGGCACCTCTCATGTGGCCGTATGGTCTAGCGTTTATCCCAGGTTTCCTCTGGCCCTGCATTAAGCTATGATGAAAATTATTTGTATTCTAGTGACCGTGGCATTCTCAAGTTGTAGAATCCAGATTTTTGATCATTGTTCAGGCCCTGTATTCCTCCCTCCCCGCCCCCCGTCCTACCAGTGCTGTTTAACTCATGACGTTTTTTGAATATTACAATAGATTAAAATTAAATTTGTGAGATTGGAGCCTACCCTTGAGGTAAATGGAAATATCTAGGACCTGCGAACAGAGATTATGAGCTTTTGTTCGATTTCAGTGAAATTCTGCTTTAGAGAACAAGGTTTGGAGGCCCATGAGCCAGAGATCCGTGTTAGCCTTTATCGAATGATTGCTCTGTTCCTAGCACTCTCCTGGGGACTGTCACGGGATCTAGGGACTTTTGATTGTTTATAACAAATCCTCTTTGAGTAAAGAGGCTTAGAAAGGAAAAAGAATGACTAAGATATGTGGTAACGTAAATACTGTCGGTAGTACACAGTGAGAGCTGTCACCAGCAGAGAGATCCTAGTGGGGAAAACAGGGCTTCATGGAGGGACTAGTTTGAGGTGGCGTTTATGATTGGATGAGATAGTGACAAATCCAAGTGGTAGTGATGGAGAGTCCTGAGAAGACAAGGAGCGGGAAAGCACAGGGTGGATTTGGTTGGAGATCAAATAGTCATTTGCCTAGAGGGGTAAATGACTAGAAGAAACAAATGATAACTTTTTACTATTTGACTTACTTTTATAACTCACTTATGTACCCCAAGGAGACAATTCTTGAACTTCATCTATACTCCAGTTCATTGATCCTTCCATTTTCTGCCCATCTGTACCCGCTAATCCAACTGAGAGTGCATGTCATAGTTTATCATTATGATCTCTCCCTTGAAAATATACTATCTCTTGTCCCTCCCCGCCTTTTATTCTTCTGGCAAAACCCACACTCTGAATGAACCAATTTTTTGCCCTCTGCATCTACACCTTGGCTGAACTTTGCTGGAAAAAGTCCTGGACAGATTGATAACACTATAAAATGAAAATGGTCAACCTCAGGATGGGCCTGAGATCTTTCTGATCTTCTGTTTCTGTGGTAAGCCTACTTTCCTTTTCCAATGACAGTTCCTCAAGCTGTATCTTTTCTTCGATTCTTTCTTACTTTCAGCCGATGACTTTGCAAGTTAGGTCAATTCTGCATCTAATCTGTCTTGTTCCTCTACTTTCAGACCTTTGTCCAAATTATCCACATTTCTTACCTAAACCACTACTATATCTTCAGGCGCTGTGTCCCTGTTTCCTATCTTGTACCCGTCCAATCCCTTCTCTGGTCAGCAGCGAAAAGTGACACTTCCTTAAAATTCTTAAAATTCCATTGCACTTAAAACTTAGAATAAAATCTAAAGTCCTAATCATGGCCTACAAAAATCCTTGGTCGGGACTCTGCTCTTGTCTCCAGGAATATCTCTTGTCACACACACCCTTCCTTTTATGCTTTTCACATAGCTGGTTCCTAATCTTCAGGTTTCAGAGTATGTCACCACCTGAGACTTTAGCAGACCAACCTATTTGAAACAGTCATTGTAGCTTACCCCGACCTCTAACTCTAGCTATTCTATAAATACAGCATGCTGCTTCCTTCATTTCATTTACCACAACCTGTAAATACTTGTTTATTATTGTTTCTACCATTAGACTTTAAATACCTTGAGGGCAGGACCTATATCTGTTTTGTTCACCACATGTGCCCAAGCAGCAAGTACAATGCCAGGCATAGCAGGCAATAATATTTGTTGAGAAAGTAGGTAAGAGAACGCCGTGCCTAGTCCAGAGGCAAGAGGAGAAAGAGCTTGGCATGGTCCAGGAACTGAAAGAAGTTGGTATGAGGTATAGTGAGAGAAGAAGAGGGATCCTGATGAGTACCTTGTACCAACAGTCCCCAGCCTTTTTGGCACCAGGGATTGGTGCTCCTATGAGAATCCAATGCCTAATGATCTGGGGTGGAGCTGAGGTGGTGATGCTAACACTGAGGAGCAGCTGCAAATATAGATGAAGCTTCACTGGCTCACCTGCTGCTCACCTCCTGCTGTGTGGCCCAGTTCCTAATAGGCCATGGACCAGTACTGGTCTGTGGCCCAGCGGTTGGGGACCCCTGCCTTATACCAAGTTAAAGAGTCTGGAGTTTATGACAGTGAGAAACCTTTGAAGAATTTTAGGTGGGGTAGTAACGTTATCAGATTTATTTTTAGGAAGATCACTCTGTCTGAAGGATGGAAAATAGAGAAAGACTGAAGGACAAGGTACTTCATCACCCTCAGTCTCAGTTTCCTCTATAAAATGCATGATTATTGTGAAAATTAAAGACAATTGTAGATCAATCGTAGTATAGTATCTGGCAGGAATTATGTATTCAAGAATGGTAACCATTTTTATTAATAGAAAGTTCTGGCATTGGTGACTGACTGATGTTGAAACTGAGAGAAAAAAAATTAGAGATATCTGAAATTTTCCAGCCTGAGAAATGACATATAAATTAGGAACCCACAGAAAGGAGGTGGTCGTGAGAGCACTGTTGAGTTTGAATGTGAATGCATAGAGTTTAGGTTGGGAAGAATGCTGCAAAAGATGTCAAGCATGCAGCAGAGGAAGGGGAGGTTTTTATTTTTTATGGTATTTACATACCATGAATTCACCCTTTTAAAATGTACCATTTGATGGTTTTTATTATGTTCACAAAATTGTGCAGCCATCACTACTTCATCACACCAAAAAGAAACCTGGTACCCATTAGCAGTCACTCCCCGCATTTGCCCCTCTCTCCAGCTCCTGGCAACATTAATCTACTCTGCTATACGGATTTGCCTATCCTGGACATTTCATATATATGAAATCATACAATATGTGGCCTTTTGTGTCTGGCTTCTTTTACATAGCATAATGTTTGCGAAGTTCATCTGTGTCGTAGCACGTATCAATACTTCATTCCTTTTTATTGTTGACTAATATTCCATGCATAGTATGGATATACTGCATTTTGCTTATCCATTCATCAGTTGGTGGGCATTTGGGTTGTTTCTGCTTTTAGGCTACTATGACTGCTGCTATGTACATTCATATACAAGTTTTGGTATCAGCCTATGTTTTCAGTTCTTTGTTCATATAGCTAACAATGGAACTGCTGGGTCATATGATAATTTCATAATTTCATATTCTTGAGGAAACTGGTGATTCTTAATCTTGAAGTCCCAAGGAAGGAAAAATCTGATGAAAGTATGGATTTGCTCCTCTGAAAATACAGCACGAACATACATTTTTGCAGACTTCAATTTTTGTATTAAAGGATTCTCAGAATCCTATCTGTGTAACTTTGAACTCTCTTTTAAACTATCATTCTCCCCAGAAACACCAGTTTGATATGACTGCTTATTACCATTACAAAGTAAGTTAAATGAGCAACATCCTACTGGAAGAGAAGGCTTTGCTTTAAATTAGATAAGGCTTTCGTGAATAAAGGGTACGAAAAATCCACACACTGGATAAATAAATGTGAAAGGATCAGTATGGTCAGTAGAGTGATAAATATTGTAGGAGTCATAGAAAAGTTATTTTTGAGGAAACTTATTACCATTCCATTATCCAGAAATTTGAATGTACACTATAAATAGGAGACTTTCATACAATGAAGTAGAAGACAGTCCTTGCCCTAAAATAGCTTCTAAATACAGTTTGGGGAAAAAAGACACAGATAAAAAGAATCGTAGTATAGGACATATCCACAAGACAGAGAGGTGATTAGATGGGATGTAAACATTACACACATTAAGTGCTTTGGTTGCTGAGAGGAGAAAGAACTGATAAAGGTTGGATTGTGTTTGTGCTTCCAAGAATAATTTGAAGATTTGGTTTACAGTCATGCGCCAATTAACGAGGGGATATGTTCTGAGAAATCTATTGTTAGGCAGTTTGGTCTTTGTGCAAACGTCATAGAGTGCATTTACACAGACCTGGATAGTGTAGCCTACTACACACCTAGGCTATATGGAGCCTGTTGCTCCTAGGCTGCAAGCCTGTACAGCATGCTGCTGTACAAAACAACATGAGGTTAAATCAAGCACAAGAGAAAAAGATACAATCAAGAGGGGCGATAAACATGAGGTATGAGGCTGCTGCCTGTGTAATGTGGCTTAGTGTTTTACAGTAAATTGTGTATATAAGTAGAGAGAATACACTCTAAATGATAAAAACTATATTATGGTAAATATATAAACCAGTAACAAAGTCACTTATTATCATTATCAAGTATTATGTGCTATACATATTTGTATGTGCTATATTTGTATACAATTGGCCATGCAGTAGGTTTGTTTACACCAGCATCACTGCAAACACATGAGTAATGGGTTGAGCTACAATGTTGAGATGACTGTGACATCCTAGGTGATAGGAATTTTTCATCTCCATTATAATCTTAAGGGACCACTGTCCTTCGTTGACCAAAACATCATTATGTGGCTCATGACTGTAGTTTGACTAAGGAAATGAATGGAAAGGCCATTTCTGGTGAGATGATGCCAGGAATAGGGTGAATGGAGAAAAGACCAAGGCCCAAGGTATGTAGGGGTGGGGAGGGGAGGGGAGTGAGGAGACAGACTGGTTCTACTAGAATGGAAGTGTGGCAGAATATGCAAGTGAAAAGGAGGAGGATTGTGTCACTTGAGACCAAAGAAGGGCAAGGTGAACTAGAAATGCTGAAGTGAAAAAAAGGAGAAATCATGGATTTCAGTTTTTCAGAAAAATAGAGCAAGGCACCACACATGGACAGATATTGGGGATTTGAGAGTAAAGAAGCTTTGAAATGGTTGCAGTGAGGCCAGGGTAATTAGGAGTCAATGACAGTGTGATTGGG